ACACACTATTTGGTCTATATTTTTAGATCTAATGGAATGTGCCAATCAGAGAACTCACTGAGCGCTCAGTAAACGGTCATGCTTCTGGATACATTCAATCCGATTTTAAAACTCTCTTACAATGATGTTAGCGCGCTAACATATTATACTACTATACTTTACATCACGCATATCATAAAATATCAGAGATAAAAGCATGTTCTGAATATGGGGATATTCTCAATATTAAGTCAATGATGATGACGACAACGTTGAATGATAACATTACCGTTTTCAAAAATTTACAAAAAACAGTGAAATCTTCTAAAAAAACCTCTTAAAAAAAATATATGCTAAGTGCATAAAAAAAGTATTGAATATTACATTTCTTTTAATAAAAAATATGGATACGAAATAAATGCAATTAATCATTGATTAATTTATACTTAATGTATACTATATATACTTGGAGTATATATTTTTTTCTTTAAAGAGATTTTTTTTAGGGATATAGAGATTTTAATATTTTAAATTCTAAATTATAAATCTATTCTAAATTATAATTCTATATTATAATTCTATATTATAAATTCTATATTATAATTCTATATTATAAATCTTCGAATCAACTTCCTCATAAAAATTTATACATCAAATTAGTTGCTCAATAATATTCTTGATAATTTGATCCTGTTACGTATGTGAATGAAAAGATATTGGGTATGGGAAAAAGTTCGTGGCGTTTTTCCTGTTAGATGGCATTAAATGCTCAGCAGTCGGCAACTAATCGCATCGGCAACACTAGACATGCGTTTAAAAAATGACATTTTAACCTTTGTTTTGAGCCGAAAAAGATTGAAATCGATGAAGTGGATCAAAAGTTATTTTATTTTGAAAATGGAAATAAATAAGGAAAAAATTCACTACATTCTGCAGTATCACTACGATAAAGGCAAGAATGCTGCACAGGCTTGTGAAAAAATTTGCGCTATTTATGGTGAAGATACTCTATCAAAATCAGTAGCACGGAAATGGTTCACCCACTTTCGTGCTGGAAATTTCGATGTGAAAGATGAACCTCGCTCCGGTCGATCAATCACTGAAAAGTCCGATGAAATCATGTAAAAATCAAGTGTGATAAACATGTGAGCACTGTGGAGATTGCCAGGGAACAAGGTATCGACCAAAAACAGTTTTAAATCATTAACACAAAGCTGAATACAAAAAGAAGCTTGTTAGGTTCCTCGAGTTGAGTGTTAGGAATATGATGGATCGAATTAACATTTGTGATACGCTACTGAAATGGAATGAAATTGAGCCATTTCTGAAGAGAATGATAACTGGTGATGAAAAATGGGTCACCTACGACAATCCAACTAGAAAAAGATCGCGGATAAAGAAAGGAGAGAAGGCGCAAGCAATCCCTAGATTGACGAGGAAGAAGGTGATGTTGTGTGTGTGGTGGGACTGGAAGGGAATCGTTCACTATGAGCTGTTATCGTCCAATCAAACAATTAATTCCGAACTCTACTATGAATAACTGCAGAGATTACAACAAGCATTTGAGAGAAAGCGGAAAGAATTAATCAATAGGAGAGATGTTGTCTTCCATCACGATAACGTTCGACCACATACATCTTTGATGACTCGGCAAAAATTGCGAGAGCTTGGCTGGGAAGTTTTAATGCATCCACCGTATAGTCCTGACATAGCACCCTCAGACTATTATTTGTTTAGATCTCTGCAGAACTCTCTTAATGGTGTAAAGCTAGTTTCAAAAGAGACCTATGAAAATCACTTGAAGCAGTTTTTCGATCAGAAACCACAGAAGTTCTATCGCGATGGAATTATGGCTTTGTGCCAAAAATGACAAAATATTATAGAAAATAATGGAGCATATTTGATTTAAATAAATTGATTTCAATACTCTAAGAAAGACACTTTAATTTTACTAAAAAATCACCACGAACTTTTTCCCATACTCAAATTTATATTTAATTTGATATCGATAAATATTTTTTAATATGTTATTTTTAATAAATAAAAATAGAAATTGCATTATACTTGGAAAAAACGAGTTTGTTGAAGTATCTAAAAATTGAGCTGGATATATATCTGAAAATAATGTTTTTGAACCATTAAAATGATTATTATATAGGAATCTCAAGTATGACAATGTTGCAAGAAATTTTGATATTTTATCAACTAGTTTGAACATTCTATAAATATAATTATAATAATAATTATCTTAATGGCGCAATAAAATTATTTTCAAATTTATATTTAATTCACAGTTTTTTAGATATTTCAGCAAAATCGTCCTTTCGTATAGAATGAGATAAAGAAACTCTATGTACGAGAGCATTCAAGATATATATAAATCAAAGTTTTAGTGAAATTATTCAACTTATTGAAATTCAACTTATTGAATTATTCAATTTATTTTTCTTATTATTGAATGTACAAACGTAGCAAAATTAAAAAATTCTATACCAAAAATTGATAAAGAGAACTTGTTTTACAAGAATAATCTAAAATGAAATAAATTGATAATGTTTTTTAAGTCTATATGTCAATATTTCAAATCTACTGTAAGACACAACTAAACGTAAATAAGCTGTAATCTCTCTTCCCCCCTGTAATTAGCCATCTTTAAACCTTTATACCTAAAAACAGATAAAATGATTTTTTTAACTTATTTCCAAGATCTTTCTTGCCGTGATATTTTGATTCACGAATTTTATCCTGTTTATCGTATAGAAAAATATTTTCTATTTTCTCTATTAGCGTATTTTTATGTTAGATATAGCTATTATTCACTGTTACAAATTTGCTATATTTCGAGCGCTCTCTTTTTCTTGATGAATATAGACATAATCAATATAGACATCATGAATATGAAAATCTTGCTATACCTAATAGATAATTGGTTGTAGAGATCTCGAAGATGGGAATAGAGGATGTCATGTTAATAAATCTTGCGAGAACGTTATCGACATAAAATGACGCCATTAGATCATTACTGACAATGTTGAGTGATAGTACGAAGATGCAGAACAATGAGGATCAACCCGTCAGGCCATCACGCTCGTCTTTTAATTAAAAGAAAGAAGAATTTTCTCGTATCGTAGATAAAAAGATTATAGAAAGAATTGATTATTTGCGCATCGTTTATTGTAATCTCTCGGTATATTAATGTCACATAGCGATTTGCATAATTCCACATCATGAATCTGCTGAAAAGTACGAATAATCAAAATAACGAGCATTAAAACTGGTAAAATATTCAAAACACTTGAATGCTTGTCAACAGATTATATACTTCGTGGATGCTTCTCAAGACACGATTTCACCAGTTTTTCTCATTTTTACGAATGTATTTTTATCCTATCAAATGCACTATTTGAGATGGCAATGTAAGACATTATAAAAAAGAAACAGAAAGAGATCTTAGATTACTGTCTCATGATATGTCGCATGACAGATCTGTAAAAATTATTTAGAATTTATGGATCTCACTTTCAGGAAGTTAAACTGTACGATATTTACAATATTTGATTATTGTCTATTTGTAAAGTGTTCAGGATGTTGTCAGGGAATAGAATCTTCTCATAAAGATTAGAGAACAATTCGGCTCAGAGATATTTATTTAATAACGTAATCTGTTTCGGAATTCGCGTTTTTATACATGCGTTCGATTATGTACTATGGTGATATCTTATAGTTAGACATGTACAAGTTCGTTATGTCTTACAGATCGTAGCATGATACGTTTCATCTTTTTTAGTTCCTCTTCTCTTCTTA